GTCATTTGAAGTAAAACAAATTGACAAAGAATTGAAAAAATTGAACACCTGGAAACTACAATAACTCAATTGAAACTAGACCTTCAAGACCGTGAGCAGGAGATGTTATCCAATGATGTGGAGATAGCGGGTATACCAGAGGTGAGAAATGAAAACCTAATGCACATCACGTTTACTGTCGCTAAGAAACTAACTGTGGAGATTGAGGACCGTGACATAGTAAGTGTAAAACGCGTCGGGCCAATAAGGGCGCTTGTTGAAGGACAGCCGGTGCCAAAGCCCCGACCAATTGTAGTAAGGTTCACACGCCGAGCACAAAAAGATGCACTGTTGCAGGCAGCACGCGTGAGACGCGGTGCTAACACAGCGGACATGGATTTTCCTGGATCTCCGCGTTTATTTTATATCAATGAACGCCTTACTAAATATAACCGTCAGCTCTTTCTAAAGTCGCGGGAAATATCTAAGCGAAATACGTGGCAGTATGTATGGACAAGAGATGGAAATATATATATACGTCAAGAACATGGTAAGAAGAGCTATCGTATTCGTTCGGAAACAGATTTAGTTAAGGTTTTTGGTGAAGATATGGTTGGTTCAGTTAGCGTTAGTAAATAATAAAAAATATGCTAAAATTTTTATTGTAAGTAGTGTAAATATAAGAAAAATCATAAAAACGAATTGTAATATTAATCTTCAAACTGTTTATAATAGTGTCAATTACATATTTTTTAATTATAGATTTATTTTTAGGTGTGTTACAGGGAGTTTCGTGTACACGATCCACCCTTTTATATGTTTAGTTGCTGGTTGCGTTTTGTTCTTTGTATCTGATATTGTTATTATCTATAATTTTCGTATGGGCTTAGAACATCTCACAGTTGCAATACATTTTTTGAGGACATATGTTTATAATAATGGGTCCTTTAAATAAAAATCGCAGTTTAACATTGGGGTTACTTAATGTCAGATCGTTAAATACAGGTAAAGATGAGTTATTGGCCAGTCTTGACAAATATAAACCTGACATTCTTGCTCTTAATGAAACGTGGCTTAAAGAAGGCGAAGAAAAGATGGCAATATTAGTACCAGGATATACACTTAAACACAAACCACGCCCACGGGATAGCCGCGGAGGCGGTGTAGGGTTCTTTGTTCGAAAAGAACTGCGGTTGCGGACCACGCAACACCCGAAATCACAACTAGAACAAATGTGGCTTGAACTAAAGATTCCCGGCAGCGGACGTGTCGCGATTGGTACAGCATATAGACCAGAATCGGTAGATATTGAGATTGCGATGGATGCACTAAGTGAATCTGTAAGTACTTTCGGATATTGTGATTGCATTTTTTTATTAACTGATTTTAACATTGACCTCCTACGACCTGATAAATTAATAGCTCGCAAATTAAATACGTTTTTATCGCAGCAAGGACTCTTTCAACTCGTTAATGAAGCAACACGCATTACTGATAGAAAAGAATCACTTCTAGATCTTATTTTGACCGATTCTCCAGAATTATGCAAAAGTATTAACGTATACCATAACACGGAACTGAGTGACCATGCCATGGTGATTTCCGAACTTAAAATTAATAAACCTAAGGAGAAACAGCTATACATACACACGAGGTCTTTAAGACAAATTAATCAAAATGAATTTTTAGCTCATCTGGAAAGTCTGTCTTGGTATGATACTGTAATTGAAAATAATATCAACAAAAAAGTTCAACAGTTTAGTAGTATGTTGCTTGACGCTTTTCAAATACATGCACCTTTAAAGTTAATTAGGCTAAAACAAAAACCAACACCTTGGATTACAGACAATATAAAATTAATGATGACACTCCGCGACTCTGCTCATAATCGTGCAAATATTTCAGGAAATGATTCGCACAATGACTATTATAAAAGTCTCAGAAACTTAGTAAATAGCGCAATCAATAGAGAAAAGTCAGCTTATTTTATGTTTTATATTAACAAAAATCAGGGTAATCCAAAAACTATGTGGAGCCATCTGAAGCGAATATCGCCCGTGGGGAACCAATCAGGACAAATATGCGTACCATCACACCTCTGTAACCCCGATACTATTAATAATTTTTTTATAGAAGTGCCAGGAGATAATGAAATAGATAAAAGTACTATTAAGTACTTCAATAGCAACCGATTAAAAAACACTGAATTTAATATTACAACCGCAACAGAATCTGAGGTTTATAAAATAATTACAGCAATTGGAACTAAAGCCAGTGGACATGATTTAATTAATATAGATATGGTTCGTATATCTTTATCGGTAACATTACCTATAATAACAGGAATAATAAACGAATCCATTACTACTAAGATTTTTCCAGATCCTTGGAAACTGGCCAAAATTAAACCTATTCCTAAGAGTCCAAACGTACAGGAAATTAATAACCTTAGACCAATCAGCATTTTACCTACACTTTCCAAGATATTGGAGAGGGTAGTATGTTCACAGTTAACGAGATATTTAGAAGATAATAATATTTTACCAGAAATACAATCCGGGTTTCGTCGAGGGTATAGTACGGAAACAGCTCTGCTGCACGTCACGGATGATATAACTGCAGCTTCTGATAAAGGTGAGGGTAGTATACTGGTGCTATTGGATTTTACTAGAGCTTTCGACTGCATAAACCATGATATACTTCTGGCGAAACTGTCATACTACGGAGTATCGGAGGCAACGTGTAAATGGTTTTACTCATTCTTGTCAAATAGAAGTCAATATGTTGAAATTAACACTGACCAAGGGGAAGTAATACAATCAAGTGTAAGAAGAACGTCCCGAGGCACTCCGCAAGGATCTATCTTAAGCCCTATTCTATTCATACTATTTACAGCGGATATTAGCAAAGTATTAAAACATAGTAAAATACATCTGTACGCCGACGATACTCAAATTTATCATTCGTTCAAGCCAGAACAGACGGAAAATGCAGTTATGCAGTTAAATGAAGATTTGTCGGCAATCTTCCAATGGGCAAACAAAAATGGTCTAACCCTTAATCCTTTAAAATCAAAATATATGGTGCTAGGAAGTAAAACATAATGTAAAAAAATATTAAGTAAGAAACCGGAAATACTCATCAACAAAAAAAAGGTACTCAGAGTGGATCATACTAATAACCTTGGTCTTACCCTCGATAGCCAACTGCGATTTAATGAACATGTAAATATTAAAGTACGTAATGCTTTTTATCGTTTAAAGGTTTTATATGGCATAAGAAAATACTTAACAGTAACGATCAGGAAGACCTTAGTTGAGTCGTTAGTGTTATCACATTTTAATTACTGCGATACCGTCTATGGCCCACGACTGTATGCAAAAACAAAAAAGGCAATTCAACGCGTGCAAAACGCATGTACTCGTTTTTGCTTTAACGTCCCAAAAAGAGCTCACATTACTCCATATATTAATGAAAATAATATTTTAAAAATGGACGCACGTAGGAAACTCCACTTGGTTTGCTTAGTTCACAAAATTATTAGTAACAAAAGTCCACTGTATTTATACAATAAATTAGATTGGAGTAAGAATGCCCATGAAGTAAATACACGTAAAAGAGTCTCAAACATGCTGAATATTCCATGCCATAAGACTAAAAACTTCAAAGGGTGTTTTAAATATTCGGCCGCAAAAATATGGAATGATTTGCCACCACCCTTAAAAGAAAATTTTAATATTAATTCTTCAACATTTAAAATAAAGGTTAAAAAGGAGTTATTACACGAACAGAAATCTTTTTAGGCCGAATAACTGTATGTTTATTCTGTAATAAGTATTTTTATCTAACACATATTGACTGTATAGAGGTTTACCAACAATACATAATTAAGTAAGATGTGCGTGCGACCAAAATACATATACCCAAAACAGCAGGGACTGGCTGAAAAACAGTGCTGAGCATAATGCCCAGCGAATACTGAGCCTGTGCCCGTTGCCTCACATTATAATCGTATACTGAGTAATATTAGTTAATCTGATAATTGTGAATGTTTTTTTTTTATTTTAAGTCTAATCATTTTTATGTGTATACTTACTTTGTAAACTTTTCATTTGTAAACTTATTATTGTGTGGCAATAAATATTTATTATTATTATTATTATTATTATTATTATAACCCGGTGCACATATTTAATTTGGTTTGGTGTTGTATTTCGCGGAATAGATGCTTTTACATCGTGTTTGTTAAATATATATAACAAAAATAAATGTTTATATTACTGAAATCTATTATAATACGTCTTTAATTGAACCCTAATCCCTTAAAATATAAATATAACCGCCTATAGTATAGATAGCTGTATATACATAACTGTGTAGTGCTTAATTATACCCAACCTATTCAAAAAATAATCATCGAAATCGATCGAGAATTTACGAGATTATTGAATTAGTAGAATTAAAAAGGAATTAGAAAGGAAGGCTAAATTGGTAAAAAGCTTGGCGTGCTCAACAGAGCGACAGTATTTCATGCTGTCACACCGCTTGCAACTTAATAAGGTGCAGGTTTGGCCTCACATGAAATACTGTTCTCATCTCTGGGCCGGGGCACCCCAGTGCCAGCTCCTTCCAACTGATTGCATCTATCGATGCAATCAGTTGGAAGGAGCTGGCGCTGGAAACTCGGTGTCGATACACCGAGTTTTTTCTGATCATTTCGATTCACTGGCGCTGCGAAGGGATGTTATATCCCTTTGCATTTTTCTATCGCATTTACCACTGGGAGTGCACTGAGGATTTGTTCGGATTAATTTCAGCCGCCTAGTTGCAAGAACGCACATCGCGACAAAACACACCATCTGGATGCTACAGTACAGATAGGGTTCTTTAAATATGAGCCTCTGTGAATGACCATGTATTTTATTTTTAAATTAATATCACCCAAATAAAGTTTTAGAAAGTAATTTCTTGTTCCTTATTTACTAAAACTTATGATTGTTCATTCATTGATTTTTACTCACTTAACAGGATCATGCATCCGCTTGTGAAGTTTCAATGATTTACTCGTTCTGAAGATTGTACAACAAATCTCGCATTCAAACGATACAACAGCATCAAAATGAAGATCTGAAAATTAAAAATTTCCATTTAATCCGCTTTCCAAAAATATTATTCAATAATGGTAGCAGTGTTTTTTTAAAAAAAGTTAGAGTGACAAACAAACTTGCAGTCCACCTGATGGTAAGTGACAATTGCAGCACATGGAGATACCTAACTTGAAATAATGAAGAAGATGCGTTGTCTGAGAGAACTAACTTGAAATAATGAAGAAGATGCGTTGTCTGAGGACTAAGATGCTCTTTATATCCTACAGATAAGTAATCGCTTGTCTGAAGCATATAAAGAACACAGCAGTGCATGCACTGACACTACTATTTTGCGGCAGAAATAGCTAAGAGGACGATAAAGATCGTCTAAATAAAAATTGCTAGCGCCTCCCATGTATTTTTAGTAAATTTTGACATTTTTTCCGTACAATGTATCATAAAATCTAAATCTAAAATTAGAAGCATTTCAGCATTTTCACTATTTTAACATCTATCAAATCAAATCAGATCAAATGTACCAAAAAAGCAAAGAGGGCGCGTGCAGTTTTAAATTCTTCTTCTCCTAATCTGTCTAGATTTTTTTAAATCTTAAGACACTCTAGACCTAGACAGATCGCTAGGCAGTAAAAGCGTAGCTCTTAACTAGTAGTGGTCGAATATGGCAAAGAACATAAACATTATTAAAGCCAAAATTTCACTACAATTATTTAGATCTTGATGCGACTTTAAAATTGTTGCGCGCCATAATTAATGCCCGGTATATGGCGCGTGAGCGCCATTTAGTATCAAGTAGCAAAAATAAGAGCATCAAGATCTTTCTAGAACTTTCCCACTAGCGCCATCTAGTGTCGAGTGGCGAGGGCTTTCTGGAGGATTCTTTGCTAGAACGTTCGACATTCTACTCGAACATTCTAGATGTTTTCGGTGGAAAAGGTCCTATATAAAGTCGGTATGGACCTAGGAGCGAAATAAGTGAACTAAAGTGTTGTGTGATTAATTATTAGTGTGTGTAGGAGTGTTGCGGTGGTTAATGTTGATAATTCATAATCTTGACAGTGAAACGCGTCTTGCATTGAACACCTTTATTGAAAACTACGGTGGCACACGAGATTTTAATTATTGCAGACAATACCAACTAGCACACAGTGTCAGTAGAACCGTAGTGAGAGAGTAATAATTAATAATTAATGGCGGCCGGAAGCCTTAATTTTTTATTTTTTAAATTTTTATTGTTGGTGTTGCCAAGAGTGTGATTTAAGTTTTAATTGGTGTTCGGGTAATTAAAGTGTCAATTTTGGCAATTAAATCGGCAGTTTTTATTGTCACGAACCCTAAGCTCGTAACAATATATTATGCAGTTTCAAAATCAAATTTATATCAACCATTAATGTTTTAAATAAAACATCTGTATTCAGTGTTATTACGACACCGACGGTGGCAGATAATATGTTGTTATTTAAATATATAGCATTACTACTATGAAGAAGTAAACTATTACCTGGTTTAGATTTATGTACTTTCATATGTGCACAAAGAGATTTTGAATTCTCGTAGGCCGCTGGACAATGTGGACAGGGATATTTCACTGTGAAACAAAACACATATGCCATTTAAAAAAAGTCTTTAGCTTTTTAGTCTTAGCTTATAATCAAACTAACACACCGACCAATAGATTACTTGCGATTTCTAGGTTCGAAACAGAGTTGGAGTTATCATGTCTTTTAAAAACATTCTAACCTACCTCTAACTTAATATGTGATCGATAAATCGAGCACACTTTAGTCTACATCACATTTACTATCAGGTAGGATTGTATTAGGATTCTCTCCTGTATCGTGGAGGCAGTTTACAAACATAAAATGCACAAGGACAAACATCCAGACCCGGAACAATTAGTTGTAAGCCATACAAATACTTGTTCCGTGCGGGATTCGAACCCGCGGCTCACAACTCAGCCACTCATTGCTAAGCCACTGCGCCACGGAGCCGTCAATTACTATAGTTTATAGATTGTGGCCAAGTACTATAGTTTATCTATACATATTATAGACAAGCGAACCGCCCGGCTTCGCCTGGATATAATTGATTAATATGGCGTTATTTATATTATCTAATTAATTACTAATTCATTTTATCTATGATTCATTTTTCCAATTATTAATATCATTAAGTTTTTCGTATAAAATATAGCCTAGCTTCTGCACATTACAAGATTATACTCCAAGTGTTTGTCGCAAGCACAGGTGCACTCTCTACGTTCTCACTATGTTGGATAGCAATCCAACATGAGCGTAGATCCGGCGACGGAATAACGGGCGACCAAAGCACGAAGGTGAAACGACGCCATCTTCCTAACGCCGGGTTGCTACTGTAAATTCTTCGACAGAATAATCCAATAACTGATTTTAACCCAACCTGGGATGCAAGCCCGAGACCTAGACATCAGCAGAAGCACTTACAACAGCTAGACTAACACTGCAGTAAAGAGCCTAAACACCTCAAAAACTGAAAACTAAGTTGTACATACAACCAGTGCGTTGCCAGTGATGACCTACGGAACCGAGACGTGGTCCTTCACTGCTGACCGTATGAGGACGCTCAAAGTCGCTCAGCGAGCTATGGAGAGGGCTATGCTCGGGGTTTCTCTGCGTGATAAACCATAGAAATGAGGATATCCGCAGCAGAACCAGAGTGACCGACATAGCCCAACGGATTAGTAAGTTGAAGTGGCAATGGGCCGACCATATAGCTCGAAGAACTGACAACCGTTGGGGAAAAAAGGTTCTCGAGTGGCAGCCTCGTAACGGTAGGCGAAGTGTAGGGCGACCCCCCACTAGATGGAGTGACGACCTGGTAAGACATTTAGGAAGTCGATGGATGCAGGTGGCTCAGGACCGTGCTTTGTGGCATACCTTGGGGGTGACCTATGTTCAGCAGTGGACTTGTGAAGGGCTGTAATGATGATGATAATGAAATAGCCCCCAGGAATAATACATGAAACGCAATATTCTGTTCCATGTGCTGTCTGTTAATACTTTAGTGAAACATACAAATTATTTCTTATTAAGTTCAGGAAAAAATAGACTTAGATTGCTTAAAAATTTAACTAAATACAAGACAAACTAATAAGAATTTTAAAAGGAAAATAAATCAACCAATGATTGCCTAACCTAAATATTATATTTATACTTACTTACTTATAACATTAATATTTATACTTACTTGTTTTACAAGGGTGAGATTTAAAATCGGACAAAGACGTAACATAAACATTGCACGATACGCAAGTGTACACCTTTATTTTGTTGCCCATTGTTGTTTGCATTTCTTTCATAATAACTTTATGGTACTGACTATTTCTATCTAAAAATTATAATCACGTATTACTGTCGTCAGCCACGGAAGCAGAATAATCGGTATCATTTGAAATTAAAAAATCATTTGTCAAATGTAATATTTATAAATGGATATACTACCTTTTCAAAACAACTAAAAACTTGTTTACAGTAATATAAACTAGTTTTATTTATTAGAGAAACATGCTGTAGTTATCCATGAGTCCATAAATTTTTATTTCTTTTGCGAACTATACATACACAAAAAAGAGAATTCTTGAGGAGTATCTTTCGTCGTTTCTCGTTTGGTCAAAGGTACCTGATTTTTTAGCATATATAAAATTTTCGTATATAAAGATGTTTGACAAATGAAACTTTAATTTCTTACATCGAACAATAAAGAGATTCATATTTCATTCGGTGACTGATTTCTTACCATCGGAAGCCTTAATGTCCTTAACAATGCTGTCACAAAATTTATCGATTTGTACAAATCGCTGCGTAGGCGCTGACTTGTCTTGTTTCTCCGCATCCTCCTTTATTGGTATAACAATTGTTTTTACCTCAACTTGTTCTGAAATAGAATTGCATTTGACAATACAATAAACTGCATTAGTATCTGCGTCCTTTATTGTGGAGCCGTACCATAAAAATAAATTATACATGGACAAAATAGAAATAGAATAGGCCATAGAAACATTTGTTTCACTATCACAATTATTATAAAGGATTGATTGATTCTTCTAATTCTCTTTCCATAAGTCGTATCGGTCCGGAAAAAACGACCGTGAAAGCGTACGACTTCTTTGTGAAAAAATTTCACGGTCGTACGCTGAAGAGTATTCTTAGTAAATCGCACAGAAGTGGACCGCCAAGCAACCAAATGATGAAGATGGTAACATAAGTTTTTGTACAATAAGCGTCAACGAAATTTGACGGCTGAAATTAATCCGAACAATTCTTCTTTTGAGCTCTCTTCATGGTAAATGCGATATAAAACCCAAAGAGATGCAACATTTGTTCGCAGCGCCAGTGATTCGAGCCGATCAGAGAGAACTCGGTCATCGACGAACCGAGCTGCTGTTCGGTTGATGTAGTCAAGTGGAAGGGGCTGACACTGGGGAAACCCTGGCCCAGAGATTAGAACAGTATTACAATTATGTTGCGATCTCCAGCTATTTTATGGCTACAGCAAAAACAAGTTGACTCGACCGGCAAAGGACCACGCTCTCATAAAACAAATAACAGCTTAATGCTGCTATATTTTGTATGGCGGCTGTAGAGAACCAGAGGCCATTTTTAGTGATAACTAGGCATTTATACTAATTATCAGGAATAACATTTTCACATGTCATTTTTTGAATTTTAACTAACAAGAGATATGTGTCTAAATATCGACTTACTGTCTGGTAGACAGTTTACTCATAAACACACTATTTTGCAAGCAGATTGCAGCTTGGGCAGAAGAGCAGTATAACTGTGTGCAGTAAAGTAACATGAGACTAGGTTTTTTTTTCAAAAAAAAAAGTATTATCTATTGTCCTCTGCAATAAATTGCAAGTTACTTAGCTGAGTGGTCTTTCATTTTCTTTTGGCTTAGTAAGTCTCCAGATTAATCCTATATTTAAGAATTTTCTGCATTCACTTTTATGAGTACATCTTTGAATAGTTGAGTCTTAAAATAAACCTCTGTCATTTACAGCTGCACTGTCCAGTCAAGGCTTTTTCCAAAATGTGTATTTTGTTCTTACCTAAGCCTAGGTCATTTTAAGAGCGAATTAACGATCATATGCCCAATAGTCTATTGAACTCTCGGGAATTTTTTGGTAAAGCACTTCAAGAGTCAACTGAGCCTTTTAGAGATACCACATATTGGCTCACACTTACAAGCATAATTAAATTTTAACATAAAAAAAACTAATAACTTTTTGTAGCAATGGTATTATGTTATTTATGTGGCAGAGCCACTGCAGCTATATTATGGTTGTAGCAAGAATGGGTCAGCTTGACTGGAATGGACCACGCTCTCACAGAATACTAGTGTAAAATAGCAGATCAATGCTGCTGTATTTTGTATGGTGAGTGTAGAGAACCATCTGAATCCATCTGTCGGTGACTTTTAATTGAAGGTAACATCCACTTACCATCAGGTGGACTGTATGCTCGTTTGTACCACTCATTCTATTAAAAAATGGTAATTAATACAATTCAACTAGCGAATTTTATGATAAAACAATTACCTAAGGATTGTTGCGGGATGGCAGTGCTTGTTTCCAGTAAAATGGGTGCTTCAACAATATCACCTGTGTCTGTTATCATTCGCTTCGGAGTTTGTTTATCACTGATAGCTAAGTCATCACTATCCACAGTTTCATATTCCAAAGCAGCATCATTAGTGCTGTCCTCTATTGGTTCCTGTTAATAAATGTTAATCAGAACTACAAAAGTAACAAAGCACAGCCCATAAACGTTTCACAGTTGGGTATAGACCTCTTCTTATTTCGGAGAGTCATGAAACCATAAGTCCCGGCATGTGTGGTGATCTGCCGACCGAAATTATATGTGTAGTTGTTTCTGTGAACAGGCTAGTCCTGGTCAGTTTCTCGGGTCATCTGAGGCGACTGGTACTCCGTGACGGACCGCTCCGGGTTCAAATACGGAAGGCGGGTCGCCTCGAAACTGCTTGCATCGTCTGCCAGTTTCTCTCACTTTCTTCTTAAATCTCGGCCATTTGGTCACCTCTACCAAGGGCTTTCATCTGGTTGGGCTTTTATTTATTTATGTATTTTTATTTATTTTATTGTTATTTATGTATATATTTATCATTTTCATTTATAAATTTACACAACCAGATGAGAAAACTATATAAATACCGCATAATAATAATAAATAAGATAACATAATCAATTAACAAGTACATGAAATCACCTCAACCACAACATCTTGATCATTGTGATAATTTTGAATGTGATCTAAAACTGAAGAAAAGGAAACTCCACATGTGTTACAGCTGTATACTTCTTGGTTTTCTTCAGACTCATTTTCATTTGAATTTGTTGAACCTTCAACTTCTAATTTTGGTTCTGAAAATCACAAAAGAAAACATAAAATTTTAAAATATCTTAAGAAAATGTTAAATGTATGGGATATCTTTTTTTTACGGGGGGAAATCCTCATGGACTGCCTCTGCTTGGGGAAAGGCGGAGGGGTGTGCCGGACTCTTACCGGCTAAAACCACCCCGGTGTCTCCTCGCACGTGCGCGCGAGGGGTCGCGGGAATCCAAATTCTTCCGCAGCCCCACACTAGAGCTGGCCCGGTCTGTACGGGCCTCGTCTCCTGCACGGGGTAGTGAGGTGTTCAACTACCCCGTGTATCACCTCAGAGGCGCGCGCCGACACCCGCGCGCGTCTTCGCCTCGGGTCCATCGAGTAGGGGGGCGGGGGCTTCCCCAAGTCCCTCGCCCCTGGACTCATTCATGGGGCCGGAAAAGGGCGTTGTCCGCCCTTCTCCTGCGCCCCGTACGCCTTCTGCGGCCAGGGAAGAGAGTCGAGATCTCCCTCTCCCGTTCCGCAGTTTCCTTCTGCGACATCACGTCCTCACAGAAGGACACCACTGCGTCCCACGATTCTGCGCTACCGACCATCCTCCGCACCAAGGCCGACAGCGACAGATCGCCTCCTACTTCATTTGTGAGGACACGGCACTGCTCCTCCCAAGCTACACACTCGGCGAGCGTGTGTTGCGCCGTGTCCTCCCCGCAATGGACGCAGTGGTGGCACCGAGCGTCCTATTTCCTGTCTATGCGGCACAGGTACTTGCCGAACCAGCCGTGCCCCGACAGCACCTTCGTCAACCTAACGACAGGGAGCCGTGCCTTCTCCCGAGCCAGTCGTCGAGTACTGGCCGGATCGCCTCGACGATAGCGAGGCCGGCAGTAGAGCGCAGAAGCCTTTGCCGCCATTCCGCCACCAAGACCTGACGGAGCTCCTCTCGGCGCAGCGCGATCTGTCGCTGCACTGGCCTCGAACCCCGTCCCCGCTCTTTCTCGCGCCATCGGTATAATGACGCGAGTACTTTCGCCTCTAGGTCCCAGAGCGGGGATCCGGCCAGGACGCAAGCCGACTCATAGGAAATCGTGCGATACCCGCGGATGACTCAGACGACGATCGCCCTCTGCGGTTTGCGCAGAATGGCGAGAGTGCTGGCCGTCATGTCCATCGCCCATACAGGGCCATGGACCGCACGATTCCCACGTACAACCGCCTACAGGCGGCGCTCGGGCACCCCAAGTTGGGAAGCAGCGTTGAAAGCGCGCCCGCTGCACGCATCAGCTTGGGCGCCAGCCGCCGGAAGTGTGGCCCGAATTCCCATCGGCTGTCGAGCACCAATCCCAGGTACTTCATGGTGGACTCGACAGCTATCCGGGCCCCACTGACCACGATGTGTGATCCCGGCGGCGGCGAGCGTCGAAGGCCATGAAACACCATGTCCTCCGACTTGTTAAGGGCCACCTCCAGGCCCAGGCACCAACGCTGCTTCCCTGTGCGAGCTCCCCCGGGCAGTGACGAGCGTGTCGTCCGCATAACACGTCAAGTCAGCGCCCGACGGGAGCTCACCTCTCAGCACCCAGTCGTAGCCGATGTTCCACAGGAGCGGTCCCAAAACCGATCCCTGCGGAACACCGCACGACATGACGCACCGACCAGCGTTATCACGTCCCTACGTCTATACTACGTCCCATACGTGACGCATCTCTCCTCAAGGTAAGCCCCTATTGTACGGCGGAGGTAGGGAGGCACGCGATGGTAATTAAGCGCCTACCGAATACAACTCCAGGGTAGGGTGTTGAAGGCGTTGGAGATGTCTAAAGACACCGCCAGCACCACCCCACCCCGGGATACTGTCTCCTCCGCCAGGGCCCTCACGTGCGTAATAGCGTCTATGGTGGAGCGCCCGCGACGAAAACCAAACTGGTTCTTCAGCGAGGTTAACCCGGCAGGCTTGGCGCTCCTCATCTTTTCGTTTTTGTTTTTGGCCTTGGCCTTGCTGGCAGGCGCCCCACAGGCCCCTCCGCCTACTCTGTGCTCCGCTGGCCTTCCCGCAGCAGAGCAAAATGTATGTGATACCAACTAGAGCAAAATGTATGTGATACCAACTAGAGCAAAATGTATGTGAAGCAACTAAAAAAAATATCTCTACAAAACAGTTCAAATGAGGATATTAATAGTAGAACCAGAGTAACCAACATAGCGCAATGGATCAGTAAGCTGAAGTGGAAATGAGCCACCCCTATAACTGGACAAACCGCCTACCATTTGGGAGGAAAGGTTCTCGTATGGCAGGCTTGTTTAGTATGCAAAGTGTAGTGCGGCCTCCCACTAGATGAAGTAACAACCTGGTAAGAGGTGCAGGAAGTCCATGGTTACAGTTGGCTTATGATCATGCTCTAGGCAGGGTTTGCCAACCCATTTTGACCAGCGACCATTTTTTTTTTGTTAGTAGGGACCACCAGGTGAAAGAAAAAACCATGTTAATCTAACAATTAATTAAAATCACAACTTTTAACATTATTATGTAATAAACTGAAAAGAGGCATTCATTAACAGTATTATTTGTGCATTTATTGCAAAAGCTACTAGCAGTGGCGAAGCTACAGCTCCAAACTAGGGCAAGCCCAAGATATAAATTGATAAAAATATAGATTGTTGTTTTTAGCAGTTTTATAAAAATACACCAATCTTGATCTGTCTCTACGCTTCAGTTTCATATTCAGTGCTGTCAAGGACGTATTTAACAAAGCACACAGAAGGCATACTACTGCTAGATAGATTTTATTACATATCAGCAATTGCATAGCTTCGGTGGCTTTGAAGAAGGCCGTTTGAGTTTGTTTAAGCGAAAGAAAAAAATTTTACATCCAATATAATACATGAACAAAATTCAAACAAACTAGGTACGTACAAAATAAAAAAAAATTATTTACATTCTAATAGATAAGAGATAAGATAAGATAAGTGGAATCGTCTCGCTTTCTTAAGGAAAGATTTAATTACGACCACGTAAAATGTTGGTGAACGTTTTATTTGTACCAATAACTGTTTTTTAATTGCGATAATTGATAAGTCTGAAATACACTCTTAACCTTGTGTATTATCTCAACAAAGTTTAAAGATTTCCTCTCCGATTATCACTTTAACACACTTCAATTCATCACAAGGAACACTATTATCCTCCATTTTCATTAAAAATCTTTAAAAAAGCATAAATTTTAAACTCGCAATACATTCGCTCAAGCTCAACACACAATGCACAAAGTACTTTTGGACACAATGTAAACACTAAACATTGAAATGTGACGTGAACTTGCTAACATATCGTCGGCTCGTCGGCGTCGGCCGCGTGCCTCCTCTCTCGACTAACTTCATACCTAACGTGACCATACGTCCCACTTTAGGCGGGACGTTCCTGATTTAAAGGTTTGTGTCGAGCTATCCCCAAAATACGTAAAAATGTCCCGCTTTGACAAACAAAAGTGTGACAATCATGCGAACCCTGTCACCCGTGCCATCATTATGACACCGTGCGTACCAGGTTTGCATAGCTTGGCTAGTTACGTGATTATTCTGAAAAGCTACACTTTTGAATTTAAAGTTACGAAGTGACAATTTTTAATTTCTACAATAAATTATCAAATAACATAAGATATTTCCAATTAGTATTTATTTGATGTTCAGAATTCACTTTTGATCATTAAAAGACTCAAACAACTATGTGTTTTTATTAGATTGAATTTTGGTAACGGCGTAAGTATAATACTAACATATACAATAAGTGTAATACTACTGCTACTGAGAATTTTGTGACGGAAATACCCAATAAATGATTCTTAACCCGACTCGGGTTTCGAACTTGGGACCACATGATCAGCAATTGCGTTTACTGCCATTAGACCAAGAAGGCAGTCAAAAGTGTTAGAACTATAATAATTTTAAAGGCATCCCGCTCTGAGGAAAAAAGCCGGGTTTTTTATCTCGTTACTAATTGCTATTTATACAATCGTAGTTATATTTCATTATAGAACATTTTGCCACAGGTTAGAAAGGCAGCGATCGCCTTCTCGAAAGCCCGGTAAAAAGCCCACGCGTGCGATTGAGAAAACCAATCGCTCAATTCAACTCTCCTTTTATGTATGACAGCACTGACAGCAGTATTCGTACGGCTACGAGGTCGAAGAGAGTGCGCGGGAAATTTGAAATAGTTTGAAACAGATTACGAGTTATTTTATTACTTAATATAATTTATTGATTCATCTTAATGAGGCAAACCGGGCTTTTGGGCTTGTATAGAAGCTTCGGCACTGGCTACTAGGTACTTAAAAATAAAAAATTTGTTATTTAAAACGATTAGATAGGCAAAACATTTCAATCTTTCCCTGACCATATTTAAGCTCTTGCTGACCACTGGTTAGGAATCACTGCTCTATGGCATTTCTTGGGAAAGGCTTATATTCAGCAGTGGAATAATGGTAATGAAAATGATAGTTTCTAATGTAATTTCCAAAAATGTTTCTTCCAAAAACCACATTGAAAACTAAGACTAGTCAATATGTAGTCAATTCGCATTATTCCTTAAATTCCCATAGGTAAACAGTCGTGTAGTGGCAGTTGAGAATATCCACTACCCCATATCTTCCCGTAGGTGTCGTAAAAGGCGACAGAGGAACACAGAAAGGAGATGGGCAGCAGCATCTTCCTAATAACAACAACAACATAATAAAAAACTGCGGTTGCCAACCCGCTCGCGGTGGCAATGAGCAAATATCCCCCCATGAGAAACGACGCAAATAAACGGCCCCCAGTCCCCGGCGGCCCCGCTATTCCTGGCTACGGTGGCGACCATGGTAACGGCAGGGCAGGGGGTGCTAAGAATCTCCAGTGGAGGTTCGGTTGCCACCTACGACGACTCGACCTGGCAACGTATAACGCACGCACCCTGAGGACTGACGAGAAGATACTGGAGCTGGAAGAAGAGGTAGACAAGTTGCGCTGGCATATTATTGGATTATCTGAGGTCCGAAGAGAG